GATTTATTTGTCATACCATAAAAATGGAGTCCCATTTTAGGAGAGTCTCCTGACATAGCCGAGTGTAGAAGTAAGTTTCAATTTTTATAGTGAAGTACTTTTACAAATAATGCTGAAATTTCTAATTATTGGGCTTGCGAATTAAAAATGTGTTTCATATTATTATAGTATACGCATTAATTCAATGAGTCCCATCATGAAATATTTCATAAACCAATAATCATGATAAAAGAATTCATTTAAAAATTGACACTTTGGCATATGTAACTAATCTTGTTTTTTTAAAAAAAATGCCATGAGATTAAGCAATAATTGATTTGATTTTCATAAACTTTTTGAATTTTTCTAGCACTCCAAGTGCTTACTCTTAGAGCATGCAACATATGAGTCAACTACAGTGAACTACATGAATTGAGAAACAGGCATTAAAACTTTTTCCTTAACTTTTAACTGGGAGGAATAGAAATGAATATTCCATCAAATGCTAGTTAAGGAATTTCAATTTGGCATTTTTTTAGAGTACGGCAACCCAGTGAAGACAACGAACACTGGCAAGTAGAAATTTGAAAATTTTCTTTCAAACGTATTCGGTGACATAATGTGTGTGTTCGAATATTTTAATAACTTATGTAATCATTCACTTATTCGGTGTGCCTGTGCAAATCAACATTTAAATAAATCGTTCGTGCTTCAATAAATTAAATAATCTTTCCAATTTATTACACATATACATCTCTGATTTATTTGCTAATCTAAACTATCTGACTGCATATGAAAGCCATTTTCGTAATTGAATTTGATTGTAATTCTGTTTATTCAAAATACACTGTTATTCATCACCTTACTTATTCTCCTAAACAGGTTGCTCAATCGGCTGGACGTTTGCAAGCGAGTTAGTAATTTTTTTAAATAAAAACTCAAAGTTTTCAATTTTTTCATTTTCTATTCACTTGAACTCATATTTTATTCTATTTATTTTTTTCGAAATCGTCTTGTGGATTTCCATGTAATTACAACAAACCAATATTGAATCATAGACATTTAATGTTAAAATTAACAAATTTATATTTTTAACTTGACTTGAATGAATATGATTGTGATTGAAAGCATGCCACCACTTAGCATTAGATCATCTGCTTTATTTTTTCGTCTACTGTGGGACTATTTTGGCATTCCAGATTTACGCGTGTTGTGTGAGTGATCAATTTAAATAAAGTAAATTGGAGATTTAATCTTTATGCAATTTGTCTGTTAAAGTGAGAAACTTCAGAACTTTTAACCTGATAATCATTTAATTAGAAGTTAAGCAAAACAAGCTTAATTTTTCGTTAGGGCATATTTAACTTGCCCTCTGGGGCTTACGAAATAGTTACAGGGAAATCAATGCATCGAAATGAATTATATGACGAGAGGTTCGATAGGGCTTCAATAGGCTGAAAGCTCTATACGCAATAGGGAGAACAGTAGAATGAATGCCACGATGGCTTACATCAATCATGAGTGGAACTTCATTAAGAAAGACTGTTCTAACTTTCAACTGACAAGCGACCAGCTGCCCAAAGAGCCCTTCCATTACAGAATCCCTCCAATAAAAACGCTTCTAATTTAGATAAATTACCTCTACAGAACGTATGGAATGAATGACGCTTATATTCTATTTATTTCAAATTGCAGATGTTTTTTAAGATAGTTATCATTAGCCCTTTAGCTGCCTTAAGGCTTTAGAGAGGGGAAGAACATTTTAGTTGTAAAAATTCGAGAAGGGAGAGGGTGGAAGAGTGATTCACAGATGTAAAGAGACAGATGGGCACAAATGTAGAGAAAAGGTAAGATGAGCACTGTTGAAGCGGTCAAATTTGACATACAGTGGGGTCAAGGTAGTTTGAAATCGGAAGTCAATTACCCGTTTATAGACTTTTTGCCGTATGAGTATATATTGCCTATTGTGTTCCACGTGGAGGTAAGTCTATTGCACACCCCTTGGCGATTATATTACCCTATGACCACGCCCCAAAAGCTTAGACATTAAAATACTATTAGATCGACGCCAACAAAACACCAACTATTGATTGTTGGTTGATTGAGTGCTCCCTCTACTCATATCTGCACTTGAGTTTCCTTTGATCAGATTTGGTCACGCTGGGTGCCCACAGATCTGTAGGACACGTCATCACAGCCGGCACGCCTGGATTGGGAGGTGCGACCGTACAAACAGTGACCAATCATTAACCTCTGTTTGTTTAACCTAATCTGCCATCCTGATCATGATTAAGCTTCCTGCGTGAACACTTTATCCGCAACGTACTAACTGAATAAACGTGCTCCGTGCTACACGTCTGTTTCCTTTATAGCTGGGCTATGGATTAGCTGGTTCTGGGAGTCTAACTAGATGCTGGAGAATCTGCCATAGAGATTTCTGTGTCGGTCAGGCTTTACTAAGGTAGCAATCCGCTACAGATCTATATAAACAATTGTAACAGAGTAATATGGATGTTCAAATTATGAATAGAAGGTTTCACACTTGTCCTCAATTAAATCAACATGGTAACTATAAGCATTTAAGTTTGACGCAAAGCGAAATTCCTTTTATAATTACAATATCTACGGATTTAAAGAAATAAATAAACTTTATCAGTTAGTACTCATTACGTTTTCACTAGTTCACTCAGAAAAAATTTAAAGTTTATGCATATATACGAAGAACATGATACACTAAACTGTAAATACTCAAATGAAGTTGATGACTTAGCAAAACCTGTAAACAATTTAATTGTTAAATTTATGAGTATGTCTTCATGTGCCGACTGCACGGAATCTCCTATCTCTAATAACTCCTTGGTTTACAAGGACGAAGTTTAATGCACTTTGTCTTTCTAACTACTGAAATTAGTAAGGGCTGTTATTAATCATTTTAACATGCAAGTAAATTATGAACCGAATATCATATTCATTGAATTATTCCAATATCATTAAATCACGTTACAACATGTAATTGGAAATTGAGAGAAGATGAATGACAAAAGCCTTGTGAACACAATAGAGGAACCAAGGTACATGCTACATATTTCAAAGAGCAAATTTTGACAAGTGTAATTTTTTGGGCTCTGGCTGCCTACATTGGAGGAAGGATTTGGAAGCTTTGGTAAATTAAGTTGCTTTGAATCGTTGTTTAAATGGTCAAAATATTTCTCAGTGGATAACAGTCATGATATGTTAGAAAAGCTTAAAATGTTCTCAGTTTCAAATACCAAAGGCATGACAACTGTTCGCATTGATATGAGGATTTAGATTGTGCGTCATTTTCAATCGTGATCAAAATAACTTAATTGGAATAATAGGTAATAGGTGGTGCAAAATACAGATTCCCAAAAACAAGAACATATTTTAATTTTTCCAATCAGATATTAAACGTAGATAGAGAGAAGATTGAAATGGTGTTAGCATGATTACTACTATAAAAAATTATCATATTCATGTATGATTGCTAAAATTAAAAGTCAATTAGGCAGAAACTGGGAGATATACATAATAGAGATAATAAAATATAAGAGCGCAAATTTAACTTCGAAATAGCACTCAAAATGTCTGAATGTGAAGGTATTTGCATATATTTTGCTTCTAAATTCGTTTTAGCTCAATTCCCTTAAGAAAAGATAAGCCTATCGAAGTTTAACTAAAATTGTTTCATTAACTTACCCAGCATCACATTTTTCCTTTTATTTAGTCATACTATGCTATTGGACAATTTGATAATACGTAAAAAATTATTCATTTAAATAGGTCTTCAAACTAGTTCATTTGGCAAACAAAGTGGAATAATGTTTGCAGAATCATAAATACATTGAAATAAACATTCCGTTCGTTTCCAATGCTAAAGTAAAAGTGTGTGTTAAAAAAATGTAGAAAAATTAGTAAATAGGTTTCGGCAGTAAGTTTCATGTTTAAGAAATAAAAATTATGACTTTTTCAATGAGGTTTTAATGAATAGACAGTAAGCGCGCAGGTTGTTTTGAGACATCCTTGTGGTATAGCGCTGTGATAATGAATGAAATTCTTCCTGGTTTGTGGTTGGGTAAAAGACCTGATGCCTCCTCAATTCCCGACCTCTATTCCAAGAAAATTAGTGCCATATTAACAATTGACCGCAGACCGCTTCAACCAGATGTATTTTCTTCTTTCAAAGTTATTTATTTGCCTGCAAATGACACGCCCTACGACAACTTACTCAAATATTTTGAAAAATCAATTAATTTTATAGAAGAAAATATTGGTTCTGGCATCTTAGTTCATTGGTATTCTATTTTTGTCTACTTAATTTTATTATTATAGTCAAGCTGGCACTTCCAGGAGCGCAACTATCGTTATTGCTTATGTGATGTGGAAATTTAAGATTCCCTTCAAGAAAGCACATGACCAAGTTTACAAATCTCGCTGGGTGTTCCCCAATGATGGATTTAGGAAACAGCTCAAGTGTTTTGAAGATATGGGCTACAGTTTCGACACTAATTCTAAGGTTTACGTTAAGTTCATTTCTGAAAACGGTAGGTTCTATAAATAATTGTTAACCTCTTTTATTAATTTATTAGCCTACCTTGAAGCTCCAATTTACGTTCCTTCCGGTTATTATACTTGTAAAAAATGCAGGTATGTTACTGATTGTCGATATTTGAATCCTCTTTCTAGAAATCCCGTCTTTCACTCTGATCAAATTATTCTCCACAAAAAATCAACTAAAGATAATTGTTCCGAAGAAATGTAAGATTCTATTTTGTTATTTTCTTATGCTTGGTTTATTGTAGACCCTGTAACAATGGCGAACTCTTTACTGAACATTTAGATTGGATGTTTGAATTCACTAACGAAATTCAAGGAAAGGTTGTAGTTTGGATTTAATATTTTCTATTCTTTTATGGTTTTTTGTTGTGTATTTGTTTCTTTTTTTTTGTTCATGCAGGTCTATTGCACCCGATGCAAAGCCAAGTTAGGATCATATAATTGGTGTGGTGAGCATTTATTTTTTTCACATTTTTTCTGTTTCTGGATACATTGCTCTTGGGGATAATTCTAATACCGATCAGGTCTGATCCTTGGGTAGAATTGTTTAAAATGTCCTCTTTGGGTTGTGTTAGCAACCCTAACTTCACCCTGATGGTATAAAAAAACTCGTATTTGGCCCTCTTGTAGATTAGGGATAATGATACGTCTGAATTAGTAGTACACATTAGCCATTGCATTTATGCGTTTGTGTGAAGCATTTTGGAGCACTCATCTCGAGTAAGGCAGTCTGAATTTACTATGAACATTCATCAATGGTCTTTGTTTTCTTAGACGATTGTGTCAAACCATTAGCGTCTAGTCAGTTACTGTTGACTATTCTATGGTACATTAGCGCCCCCTACAACAGAGTGTAGTATCTAAGAATGCTACATTTTATAAATCTGTATAGACTTACCTCCACGTGGTGCGTCCTGAGCAACGTATACTCATACGGCAAAAAAAGTCTATTATTCGGTTGTTGACTTCTGACTTCAAACTACCATGACCCCACTGTATGTTAAATTCGACCACTTCAATAGTACTCATCTTACCTTTTCTCTGCCTATGTGACTACCTTTCCCTTTACGTCTGTGAATCACTCTCCTTCCCCCCCCCCTCTCGAATTTTTCTCACTATATTGTTCCCCCCCCCCCCTCTGTGAAGTCCGAAGTCAGCTAAAGGGCTAATGATGACTATCAATATGCCTGTCATTTGAAATAAATAAATAAACAAATCTGTATTGATCATCTCACGTTTTCCAAAACATATAGCTAGTTATGTATTAT